CCTGGCAAAGATGGTATTTTCAGCCAAAAGACTGGGTAGGATCATTGTGGGAATAAATATTGACAGAAAGGAAGAACTGTCACTGAGTCCTGGGTCCCTTCAATGTCTAAAGATCAGGGACTTTAGCCACAGAGACCGAGAAGGAGCAGCCATTGGGACAGGAGGATACCAAGGAAGTGTGTTGTCCTGAAGCCAAAGAGAAATAACATCAAGGGAGAGGAGTAATCCCGCCTATCAGATGCTGCCGATTAGTTGCTGCCCTTGGTAAATGTCATTGCATCCAGCAATGCAGTGGCCACTGGTGACCGTGACAAAGAAAAGTAGCATTGGAGAGGTGAGGCCAAAGCCCACTGGAGTGGGTTTAGGAGCTAAGGCGAGGAGGGAGGATGGAGACCATGAGTATGGGCTCTCTTTGGAAGAGCTTCGTTAAAAAGGAGTGCAAGAAGAAAGGACCCCAGTTGGCAGAGAAAGGGGGGTTCGAAGAAAGATGTTTTAAAATGGGAGAGCTAACAGCAGGTTACTAATACCATCAGCTGCCCTTTACGGAGCTCCTCACTGCACTGCTAGGTGCTCACACGTGGCAACCCATTCAATCCTCTAAATGGTTTTGCCGTGTAGGTATTAACACCTCTGCCTTTCATGCAAGGGAACAGATGTTAAGAGAAAGTGGGGAACTTTACAAAACCAAATCCGTAAGTGGCTGTGCCAGGACTGAAACCCAAGTTGAAAGCAGGGACTCTTGACGACATTGCACTCGTTGCCTCTATAACAGAGCCGGCTACTCATNACAGAACTGAAACCCAAGTTGAAAGCAGGGACTCTTGACGACATTGCACTCGTTGCCTCTATAACAGAGCCGGCTACTCATAGAACCTGCCTCCCGCAGGGAGATCAGACCTGCGATGGCACCGGGCAAATGTTAACTGTCAGGCCTCTCATCACAGCGTGCAGGACGCTCTGATCTTGCAGAGCAGTGTGCAAAGAGATTGGGATCCTTCTGGGTCCCAGCCTTCAGGAAGGAGGTGTCTAAAACGACATCCCTACAATCGCTTCTATACACAGCACTCCATGCAAACAGCACTTACATCACGTCCAGGAAGAACAACCAGGAGTGTGCGGCCTATTTTCAGATTGGGCAGCTCAGTGGGGAGCAGGCCCGCCCTTTCTCACCTACCACACTGGTGGGGATCCAAGGAGTTCCAGAAACACTCGCTGCTCCTGCAGCTGCTGCGTGAACCTGAGGGGGCGCTGTTCAGGAGGTGGGCTGCGGTGGGAAGAGGCTCCCTGCAGTCCTTGGCAATGAGAGCTCCTGGGGTCTCCGGCTATCGTCAAACCCCAACTGGTACAGAAATCCAATATGCCAAGATGAAATCAGGCTGCAGTATTACAGATGCCTTTTTAAAAATACATGATTTTTTTTCTCAGTGAAAAGTAAGTTGCTCCTGGAGTCTTTGTTTTGGCTCAGAATACAATTTCCTTCTAAAGCTGGATGGAAATTCCCTGCACCGAAGAGACCAGGGATGTATAGGTGGGGGAGGGGTGGGAACGAGGCGAGAAAGCTTCTTCCAAACCCAACCTTACTATGTGAGATGATGATCCTGACACCTCAACTCAGGAGACAGCAAAGGAGATGCCTCCCTCAGGTAGGACAGGGCGCCCGGGGAACAGCCATTTCAATTAGTGCCAGACTGGCTGGAAATGAGGATTACGAAGTCATTTTCAACGAGAGCCCGAGGATAATTTGCTTAGCATATGGACTTACTACAGGAGACTTGGCGTCTTCCCTCTGCAATGCAGCATTCACCTCACTCAGGTTCAGTTCTTACAGAGCACATATCAAAGGCCCTTTCCATTCTCACCTAAGGATCGCCACGGAAAGGCCCTGCACAAGCCTCCTTCACAGTGGACACTGATCATGCACCCAGAAAATGCTAGTTAAGGTCCCTCCAGCCTCCCACCCCCAGCACACCTTATTCTCAGTCATTCTTAACTTTTAGGGAAAGCTTCTTTTTGCACAAAATAGCCCATATTGAGTGCATGCACAAAGGCGTTCTTTAAATTTTTTCAGAGGTCTGTCCGTCACCTCTGGGTTATGACTTAGGAGAAACACTAGAAGACTGGTCATCAGGAAAAAAATAAACAGTAAGTTCCATTTTAAATTGGAAACAATTGGACTTCATTTATAAGCTGAATTTTTTTTTCTTCATTAAAGAAATAATACATGCTCGCTAAAAATAAATTCAACCAATACAAAATGACATAAAGGGTAATGTGAAAAATATCTTACACTCTCATTCCTCCAAGATCATAATGAACAACTTGCTGTATATCCTTCCAGCTTTTTCTTTGCGTGTAACATGTATGTGTGAGAGATCCCTAACATGAACTGCTTAAAGTTGTGTGTGAAGTTTTGTATGCACATATGCATATGCATTTTAAAGGAAAAGGAACCATAACTTTCATCAGTTTTCAAAAAAGTTTAAAATAAATATTACTATATATGTAACAACATAAAGTATAACATATATATAACTACATATACATTTCTATTTCGTTTACAAAAATCTAATCATAATCTACATATAATTCTGAAATTCATTTTCATCCATTTATGGGCATTTTTCTATTTTAGAAGTAATTTTTGTTGCTCCTGGTATTTTTTATTATCACTTAGTTTTTCCCCCTTTAAGTGCCAGAATCTGGGGCTTGGAGACAGAGAGGTCTGGATTGGACTCTGGGCTGGACCCCTTACAAGTTCTGTAAGTTTGGCAAGTTACTCAGATTTCTGAAGTCTCAGTTTTGTCATCTGTAAAACCAATTAGAATTATAATAGAATCATTGCAAGGCATAAATAGTAAAATGTATTTTAGGCAGTTGGCACATGCAACGACTGGCATAGAGTGAATATTCAATAAACACTAGTGCTTTTGTAGGTAGAATTCACTTGGTCCAAAATCCTATATATACCATCTGGAGAAGGCTTTTAAAATCAGGATTTAGGATGACAACCAAGTGGATTATTAAGAATAAAGCTGAAACCACAGTCTGGGATAAAATAGTACTATCCATTACTTAAGAGTAAGTCAGCAAGCAAATGATGATTTATACAGCTGTAAATGTTACACAGAATCAGGTGTCGGTCCTAACCAGCATGGAAGACAACTGCCATGGAGTGAGCTGATCAGGGCTCTCCCCTCTCTAAGATATGGAGAAGGCCACATCCTACACCATTCCAGGCTGGGGCTGGCCTTCCCATTCTGGGTTTTATTACTCAGGTCTCAGACTCTGCGTGCACAAATGCTGCAAGTTCAATGGAAGGGCAGAATTCCATTTTGTTTGCATGGCGCTGGTGCTCTGCCTCATTTATGAACACAGAGATGGCTTTGGTCTTCAGCAAGGCCTGCAGCTCTCTCCACTCCCAGTACCTCTGCCCTGCGGTGTCCACTCTACTTCTGGCCTGCCGGGCAGCCCAGGGCAAGGGCAGGCCTGGTGGAAGGCCCTGCCGTGACCACTGCTTATCGGGCAGCAACTAAATTCCAGGCATGTGCTAAGCACTTTGCATGTTTTCTTTTCTAATCTCACAGCAATTCTGGAAGCTATCATCTCTGTTTTGCAGATACAGAACTTGAGGCTTAATGAAAACAAGGAAGCTGGGTAACGTCACAGACTTAGCAAGGGACAGAGTGGGAATCTGAATCTCTCTATTCCAGAGCCCGGGAGCCCATGGATGCTACCTCTAAGCTTTTGCCTCTGTGTGGTGGCCGCATGTGACACTTGCAAGGCTGGTGGAGAAGGAGAACACGTCAGTTTGGTGTCCACTGGAGGCTTCCCTTGGACCGAGCAGGTCTGAAGCACAACAGGCCTCCCCCTCGGAGGGGGTCTTTCTGCAGGGTGGCCCTTTCAAACTCAGTCCGCACCTGCGATCGGAGCTGGAATGAACTCCTTCAGCTTTGCAGGAAGACCAGTGAGAAAACCGATCAGAGAGGGTAAGTGAAGTTATCTGCCGCTGGCAGAATCACGGGCTGCAAAGATGCCCACGTCCAAATCCCCGAAGCTTGTGAACATGTCACCTTGTACGGCAAATGAGACTGCAGCTGTAACTAAGAATCTTGAGAGAGAAGGTTGTCCTGGATTACCCAGGTGGGCCCGATGTTGTCACAAGGGCCCTGATAAGAGGGAGGCAGGAGCGTGAGAGTCAGAGGAGAAGATGTGGCAACAGAAGCAGAGGTCGGGTGATGCCGGTGCCTCTAGAAGCTAGAAAAGGCAAGGAAAACAGGTCCCTCCCCAGCGTCTCCAGAAAGGAACCCTGCCCCGCTGACCCATTTTAGGCTCTGAGAACTGGCAGAGAATAAATCTGTTGTTTCGGGCACTAAATTTGTGGTGACTTGTTACAGCAGCCATAGGAAACCAAAACAATGTCCATATCCCAAGTATCTTATAACAACACTGTTCATATTCAACTCAAAGTCCTAGACTCAATTTATTTAAATCTTAAGACAAATGTCTCTTGGTATTTCCAATAGTCCATTAGTGATGTTCTGATGGGCCCACTTCTCCCTCTTCATAAAGAAAATGAATTAAAAGATATCTGTTAACTTTTAAGTGAACATTGCACCGAATACTCCAGATATTTCCAAAACCTAAGAGAGGCCGGCATTTCCCCTCCCCCTGGGAGCTGAGTAGGCACACGATCCTCCAACTGACCCACAGCTTTACAGTCTGAGCCAGGCAGGCCTGACGGGAGGTGAATGCAAACTCTCATTTTTGCTGAGATACTTGTGAACATTTTCAACACCCACTACAAGAGCAACTTTCATCAGCTCAGCTGTAGGAAAGTTAAAAACTCTTCCTAGTTTTGATTCTAATAGATGACTTGGAGAGAAGCGTGTGTCTGTTTACATACATAAATTTAGAAGCGCTGTGAAATCTCAAACAAAATTAGCCACCAGGGAGGGGGGCAAAGCTCAGGTAACCTCATTAACCCGGGCGGAGCCACTTACATGCGCAGGACTCAGGATAACGCTGGCCAGCGGACTGAAGGGGGCGCAGCGGAGCAGCGGCGGAAGACCCAGCAGCCCGGGAACAGAGTTCCAGCAACAGGAGCGAAGACCGTTGGCAGATCCACGAGGCTTTTGTTGTTCTTGTCGCTGAGAATGAAGAAGAGTCCTGTGGTTGGAAGGTTCCTAACATTATCACTGTTAATTGAATAATCCAGGAAACAGAGCCCAGACATGCATCCTTTGTGGCCCATACACTTCAGAGAGAAAGCTTTGGTTTTCGGGAAACCTGCTCTGTGTCCCTGTGCCCTCCAGCTGGACATTGCAATCACCCATGTTTCTGTGCAGAAGCTGGACAGCTTTGGAATCGCCAAAGAGCACCAGCTGGTTCTCTTGTATGAATCGTTTCTCCAACCAGCTGAACACGCCTGGCATTCCCGACTAACCCTCTTAAACAAAACCTCATCTAGAGCTGGCATTATAATCATTAGCCAAAAGTATTGTAATTATTATTTTTTATTTTCCCCGTTACCTACAATCTCTTTGTAAACAGGCTGCTTCTTACTCTGATAGTAACAATTTACATAGAAAAAATGATTTAAGATGCCAGATTTCCTATGCAAACGCCTTGCTGCCTTCCTGCAAAGAAGCAGGCTGGCAAATAGGTGCTACTTCTTTACCAGGAAAAAGTAAAGTGAGAGGAAGTGACTGGTCTGTGTGTGCCAGCTGTCATCTGGGACAGCAGGGACTCTCGACCCACTTGGCAAACAGCAGGAACTTCCAAGTCTCTTTTTCTCCCCCAGGGCACAGGGCAGAGTTAGCCACAGTCCAGCTCTCCCTAAAGGCCTGATTTCCAATAATTTTATTTTCAACACAGTGATCTGTTTAATCTAACACTAAATGTGGCTTAATCCTTATGCTGGTTGAAGACTGTTCATATAAATGTTTAAAAAAATAGATAAAATCTTTTGACTATGTTATAATTCAAGGTTAAGAACATACGGTCACTATACATTTATACATTATCAAGTGTAAGTAATAAGGTTTAAATTGAATCCCCCAAATCGATGACAGCCTGCCTGCTATTAAAACACTCTAGGTACTTCTTACCTGAGCCTAGAGACGAACTCGTTTCCTAAGCCCAGGCCTAGCTGTGTAAATGGAAAACCCTTTTCTAAGTTTCGTCTTTGTATCCCATGGAGACTGGTGAAAGACGACAAACGTGCTTACTCGGAGAAGGAAAGAGCTTAGTAGTCATGGACCCAGCTTGGATGCCATGGCTCTGATGGCCACGTGCTCTTGGGCCAGATTCAGCTTCTTTGGGCTTCGGTTTTCTCACCCAGTAATGAGGAATTAATACTAATTAACCTTAAAGGTGGGTAATGAGAAATGACTATTCCAGATGGCCATGGGGTATTTCTTGGGCAAAGTTAGAATGCTTCCATGATGAGCAAGGGGGCTTGAGTGGTTTGATTCTTAAACACTGCCAAGAGAGCCCCAATAATGATCCCTAAAGCACCGGAGTGGAATGCAAGGAAACAGCCAACAGACTCGCTAATTACCATTAATAATGGTACTCTTCCCTCCTGCTCCTATCTGCCCTCTGGATAGCAACTTGGGAAAATGAACGGAAAAGAACACAGCACCTGGAAGATTCTTGGGCACACTCCTGCCACACCAGTGTTATCTTATTAGCAAACCATTTCCTGGAAACAGGTGTGCCCTGACTTAAAAAAAAAAGGGGGAACCCACAGTGAGAGAAATAACCAAACAAAGTGTTCTTTCATTTTTACAAGCTTCCTTGAAATAGCAGCTTCCCTTGTGCATAGTTCATTAACTTATTACCCTTGGGAAAAAAAAGAAAAGCATCCAGATGGAGATGTAACTCTGAAATGATCGTGTTAAGCAGCGGGGAAATGTGGTTTAATTTACAAAATCTTCACAGTAACTCGTGACATTTGAAGTGAGGTTTGCGCCCATGAAGCTAGAAAGAACTCTAAGAGAAAGAGACATATTTCGGTTGCAAGATACAATTTTCAGGCCCTGCCATCACCATCTCATGTCACAAGTGATGGAGACCATGGGCAGTGAGTCAGGGTGGAGGACTCATGGCCATGGATATGAGGTCTACCCGTGGCCTGTGGGCTCTGCCAGCCAAGCTCTCCCCTCCTTCATCTCCCACGGGGCGGGCCCCGAGGTCAGCCTCCTCTGAATAAGAACCGTTTAAAATCAACTCCCAACATATCCGTTATACCCTGAGTGCCAGCCAGGCCTTCTAAGGAAGGTGGAGGTAATAAGGCATGCCCCTGCCCCCTATCCTTGCCAACTGATGGTGACCAGCTATCCAAATCTAACAGCCCAGATCTTTTGGAAAATGTCCATCAATAGGAGTAGGGACTCATTTTAAAAAACAACTAGTTGTCAGGAGCAAGCCAGCTTTCAATTCACCAGCAGACTTCCTTCTGACAACTAGTTGCTTTTTATTAAGTTACCGAAAATAAGAGGCGAGGCACTCGTTAAGAGGTCTGAGTGATGGGACCACATCTGCCTGGTGAGCAAATCAGGGACAACTGGAGGAACCTTGCCAGTCCTTGGACACAAAAGAAATCTTTTCGTAGGTGCTTAACTCCAGGGCTCGCTATGAACACTGAAAGAATACACGAAATAACAAACAAACCCATCAGCCTTCTGAAGGGGAGGCGGGAAGACCACCAGGAGGGGCTGGCGTCTGAGGAAGTGAGCAGAAAGTCAGGGCTACTGGTTTCTCTGCAGCAGAAGAGCAGAGATGCCTCCTTGGGCGAGGGCACAAGGACAGCATTTCTGAGGATTCCGCGTGCTGGGTTTGACCAACATACGGAGCCGCGAGCCAGCTGGACAGATGCCATTTTGGCAGCTCCGTCAAGAGGAAAAAGACTTTGCTGAATGAGCTGAATCTTACCTGCCCGAGAGGAATTCCCTAGCTTTACTATAAACTGTTGGGGGCGGGGGGCGGTTTAGAAGCATTGGAAATGGGACAAAAGAGAGTGTCAAGGAGACTGCAGGATCTAACAAGAGAAAACGAGGCAGCAGACTCGACAGAGCAGACGTGAGAGAGGGAGACGAGAAAGAGGGCTACGCAGTGGCCAAGGGAAAGCGGCACAAGTGCTGCCATCCGCGATGGACTGTCCTGCAGAGAGGGCCCCAGCCGGCAGGAGGCAACGAGGAAGGTTCACTAAGCGTGTGGCCCAAGTCTCCCGGGGCCAGCGACAGCGTTAATAGGTAAGACGCTGTTCCAGCTTTACAAACAGACGTGCACGTAAAGCCTGTCTGCAATCTGAATGTTTGAGCTGAAGGTCAGGCAAACAAAAGTCAAACGGCCACAGCGTCCTTTGGGCTCCAGATACACCGCCCAAGGATCAGGGAGGGGACAACAGAGCCAACTCTAAGGCTGCGGACGCAGGAGCCAGTTAATGGGTACTTGCGGACGGAGCGATGTCACCTCGCGCTGCACCCGATTTATGGGAAGACGTGGGAAGGCGTAGGATGGGATTGCTTGTGGGATGCTATTTTTTATTTTATCGCCAAAGATGTTGTAAATACGGTCGTCACAATTTCGGTCGTGGTTTTCGATGTATGAATCACATGAAAGTCTGTGGGAGTCAGCTGAGCAGACAGCCAAATATTATAACACTCTTCCTGACATTTACTCTAATGGGTAAGATTTAAAGTCATAAAAGTAAAGACGATATAGAGTCCTCCTGTAAAAAAATTCATCTTTCATACACTGCCTTTAGTTTTCCTGCAGTCACTGGGACAGGGTTCAGAAAATATGGACAATCCCCCCATTGGGACAAGCAGCAGCTGGGATATCTTTCAGGCTAGAGATTTCTTTCCTGCAAATCAAATCTAGAACTTTAACGTTTGCTGAGCATACTACGTTTTACATTAGTGTAAACTCAATTTTAAAAGGATGCTGTGTCTCTAATTAAACGCATTTATAGAAAGATATCCAAAAAAAACTAAAGCTCAGCGCAGATAAAAAGAACACACTGTCTTTAGTTTGGAGATCGTGGCTCCACTGAATTTAAATATTTATCATATAATTTTTATATCTGGATCTTAATGAGCAGCAACTTTTATGGCATCACTTCTGGAAACAATAAAAAATGACATATTTTGGAATGCTAGTTCCAGTTGGATATCCATCACAGGGCGCCATTTAAATAACAGTTGCTTTCATAAAAAAATAATGGCACATTCCTTTCTGAACTTAAACTTTCAAACACCTGCCATCAAAGAAGCAAACAGGAGAGCCTGGAGTCAGAGAGTTTAGACTCTTTCCAATTTCTTCATCAAAGCCCCCAAAGCAGGTGTTCTTTTCGAGTCCAAAGAGTAAGAAATGTTTGAGAAAATCCTTTTTTGTAATTTCCCAGGGAACACATGAGGAAAAATCGCTAAGCTCTCATTTCAAACGGTAGGGATTTGGATTGAGTTTAAACAACAGCTTATGCAAAAAGTCATAGCTCCAGTTCTCTCACGCTGAGAAATGACGGCTTTGGACAGGACACTAGAAACTCGGGTTAGAAAGACAAAGCTACGTGACATCAGCCAACCAATGGCAAAGTTACCTGATTGGCTGGAGAGAAAAATGAAGCATTATCTTAGTCCCACTAAACAATATTAATACCACCTGTATTGCTCTTAAATATCCAGTGAGTCAAGTAAGAGTCTGAGCCTCCTGAGCGCCCCCTACTGGGGATCGAGCCCGCAACCCGGGCATGTGCCCTGACCAGGGATCAAACCGTGACCTCCTGGCTCATAGGTCAACACTCAACCACTGAGCCACACCAGCCGGGCTTCCCCCTTGATTTTAAATGTTTTTTTTCTGGGGACCTCTGGCAGATAGACCTGCAAGCTCTATCATGACTAACTGGAATGAACATTACGGTTTATCAATCACGCATGTGCTTTTACACTAAACTTGGAAGTTACATAAGCTCTTTAGTGCACGTTTCCAATGTTGTGCACAAGGTACCTTCTAGAGTATTCCTTCAGCTATGATCTCATATAACATCCTGCATTCTTCATCTAAGCACTACGTGCTTATTTTCTCTGAGTGGATAAAGGTCCCTTTGTCAATAGCTATAGTCTTACTTCTGTGGTCCATGGTTTTAACTTGCATAACTTGCA